TGTTTGATACGTTATCATGATTTCCCCATTAAAATCATTGCCCATGTTTAACTTATTTTAACGATTCAAAAACATCTTGATAACAGCGCGAATAACAATTATTTACACATTTACACTTGAAAAGCCATGGTACAATATTATTATCTAGATGCTCTACGATCATGTCATATATAATCAACTATATAATCTTTATTTTAATTTAAAAAAAAAAAAAAATGAAATATCTTCAATAACCCAGAAAAGAATGGAAACAATAATATTTCTTATGAACAAAGGAAGACCTAGATCTTGGTATAATTTTATTGAGTACACGCATACCAAGGAGAAACTGATATTATAACTAGTTATAAGTGTATATTATTGTTAACATTTAAAGGGTCAGCCTGCAGTCTTTTTGATAATGCGTTGAATTGAGCTTGCGTTGTATGAGTACGCGGCAGAATAGATCAGTTTAAAAAAAAACTGACACGTTATAATTGGGTGATCCTCGAATAATTATGTCTATCATAGAATAAGATGAAATTAATTATTCGAATACTATTGTGTTTTTAGTATCTTAGGTTGGGGAATAATAATTTTTATTTTTTCCTAAATATGATTAAAAAAAAAAAACAATCTGAACAGTTTGAATACCAACTTTGGGAGATGTGACGACAATAGTAAATAAATAGAATCTCGCGGGACTTTGGGCTGTATACACATCACACGGCATTCATGATCCAAAGCCAATATGCTGTTCCATAACAAAGATGAAAAAATCGTGTACTTACAATAAAAACCGAAAGAGAACTGATGTACTTAAGAGGATTGCATACCTACAAGCTTATTATTAGCATCCTTAATTCGGCTTTCAAAGCAATATTATTTATTATAAATATTCGCTATCATTATTTTATGAGATTATATTTTAAGAAATATTTAACTATTTAAAATTCGTGAATTGTATTTTATTTCGATTTATTCAGCTTGATTAAATATAATGATTTAATGATATAATGATTCTCACAAACTAATAAATTAATAATTATTTTAATAATTGAAGTAGGTACCAATCTAATTAGTTGTATTCAATACAATTGCATTAACTATTTTATTCTAGAATATGACCGATGTTTCATAAAAACCAGTCTTTAAAGTCTAAGCGAATTATCGAAAAAAATAAAAATAAATAACAAGCTATCACGAACTGGTCAAAATAAATTGTAAATGTTTGTCATTTTAATGTCTGAGCACTAATGTATTCAATCGAAATAATATAGAGTTATATATTATTATATTATTATAATGCTATCGATTGGTATTTGATAAAAAACATTCATATCCCTGTTCCGTTTAAAAATTCCAACTTAAAATTATTTATTCAACGTAAAAAATGCAAGCTTAAAGGTTTTATTTTCGAACGAAAATGTTAAAAGTTTTACCAAGACCGTCGATGGTTCGTGGGAAGTTTGCATTCGTGAATCGGTGTGCTTCACAGATTTAAGTGTCTGTTATTCTCTGTGCTGCAGCACCCCCCTCCTCACGGTTCTGCGACAGAGGTCCCGGTTGGTTACGGTTTTGACGTAACACATTGCGTATAATAATATAGCTGGCGTTCGGTTGACCTCGGTTCGCGGAATACACGCGTCCGACGAACAGGGTCGCAAGAAAGAACGACGACGACGCGCAGCGGTGAGTCAACGGGACAAAGAAGGGAAAATATCGGCCCGCGAAAACAGTGCAACCGAGGGCACGAAAAGGGAAATAATAATAATAACGCTATAGCAGAGTCGTGCGGAAATATATATATATATATATATATATACGTGTGTATGTATTATATTATTTTGCCACTCTCCCCGCACCGTAACTTTTTCACGTTTTCCCCTCCGGTTCGGGGTGCGTTCGTTTTTACTTTAATTTTTTTTCCCCCTCTACCCCCGGTTCCATTCCGGAAGCCTCGGGGGACGTTGGCGCGCGCGGCAACGGTGCCGCGGACCGACCGACGAGTTCTGCCTCGACGCTTCGATTAATAAGCGAAATGCCCCCCGAACGGAGCGTCGGGTTTCGCAATTGGCCGTCCGTCGTTGCGTGCACGCACACGGGGGTTGAGGGGGTGGGGGCGGCGCACGTACACCCATCCGCACGGGCCGCGTGCACGCGCGAGTCGTCCGCACCAACTGAACACGTTTGGTCGCTTTCGCCGGACGACGGACGGCTTAACGTTGCGACGCGTCCGATAACTAATTAAAATAATCCAACGTGCGACGTACGGCCGCGGTCGTTCTTGCGCGACATCGGCACGACCGTACGATCCCAACGCGGCACGTTCGATCTTATCGGTCGATTTTGTTCGCGGATCGATATACGCACTGCCCTCCCCCTCCCCCGCCAATGACAGTTGAAAACGCGCCCCTGTTTCACCGTCCGTTCGAGTGCGGTCACCGATCGTCGTGCTGATAATTGACCATTTGCATATTGATACGAGTACATATTCGTATTATTATTAAAACCTATTCACGTACAACGCACAATACGTTAACTAAACACGGGACACGCGGTGTTAGTGCCTGCTATACATTTACATGGGTTTTAACTAGGGCGCGGAAGTTGATGCATTTTGAATTTTTTTTTTTTTTTTTTGTTGCATTTTTTGGTGTTTAATACTTTTTAAGTAATTTTTTAACAGTTTTAGTCATTTTCACTGATTTCACACTTGTTCACTTCTTATCCTTTCTTGTTGACCATTATGCCGATAACTTAAGACTTGTCCGATTACATTCGTAGTTGTCGTATTGTAGTGAATATTGTTATACCTACATTTTATTATTTTTTCCTAATGTTCGATGAATATCCGATTTTATCTCGTCGATTACAGTTGTCGCGCTGTTGTCATTTCATTGTGCATAGTACCTATTATACCTATCTAAATTTTATTATTTTTTTGTAGTATTTTCAAAATGACAAAAATTAAAACGTCTGTTAGAGCTCGTATGTGCCTCCCAATCATTTCAATGGACGTGTAGAGAAGTTTTTCCAAATTTAAATATTTATAAACAGATAATCGTCGTTTATTTACTTTTGATAACATTAAATACGCTCTAATTGTACAATGCAATTATTTTGATTTTTGAGTAATTTGTAAGCTTTGATAAATTTGTAAGACAATTATTTGAAAATTTTGAATTTCATATTTTAAGGATATTTGTTGTCATTTTTATGTCATATTTTGAGTAATTTATAAATTTTGATAAATTTATATGGAATGTTATAGTAAAATAGAGTAAAATATTTAAGAAAATATATTTTTATTAATTTATAAAAAATATTTGCTATTTTTTTAGGTAATTTTTAAGGAAATTTTTGTTTTTTTTGTCTTTTTTATCATATTTGCATCTTTTTTTTTTTAGATCATTTTTTAATATTTTTAAGATCATCAACTTTTGAGCCCTAGTTATAACTATTAGGTTGTGGTATAACGGGTCTCCGAACCCCACCGCGGCCGTATTTCTATTATGATACTACAGCTGGTCATATCAGGTACCAAATATTAATTTTCTCCAAAAGTTGCTTATTACAGCAGTGATTCGTGATTTATGGCCAATAACGGAGAAAGTGCCATTTGTCATAAATACATTTTAATTATGGATTTGACATTCGTCATTGACTGAGACGTGCGATACGTATTTATTTTATTTTTTCATTACAAAATTAGACCCCGATTATACATAAAAGCTAAAATACGTCATCATTTTTCGAAAACGTTTTGAAATCAAGGAATAGAAAACTACGCTGGAACAAAAGCGTATACCTCACGAGTTTGGAACTCAAGATTTGCATAACTTATATACATGTGTATATCGATACGCTCTCTTGCACGCGCGAAACATTTCAGATTATTAAAACAGTAAAAAAAGAATCCAAACAATTCAAAAGGAAATACCTACTTCAAAACATATACCATCAAAAAGAACTTTAACTAATCGAACCGGCCGCGAAAATAGTCGTATTGTGTCACAAAAACACTGCAGTGCGCTTCGGGACCCGTTATTCGTCTACTTCAAAGGGATACGAGTTTTCACGGTTTTCAGACGCTACACAATAACGCGATGGTTCCATGTGATTTTTTTTTTGTTTACGAAACAGCTATTTACACTTTTTATGATTTTACAAAGGACGTCAATTTTCACGTACCGTCCAAACAAATTACTAGACACGTGTATTTAGATGATCGCCAAATAATGTCGTGTACTGTCTCAGGTACAGTATAAATAATAAAATAAATGAAATTTATCGAGCATGTATTATTTAGTATGCATTGAAATATGTGACTTGTCATCAATTTTATATACTTATATATATCTATATAATTTACAGCAATAAAAATTCAATAACTTTCATACAATTTCTAAGCCTAGATTTTGGATTTTTAACAAAATAAGTTTTGTGTACAATAAATTGATGTAGTAATATTGATTTACTTATGAGACATTCAATCGCCATTCAAAAATACGTCTAGATTAAAAGTTACTTGTATAATATTACTGTTATTGTAAAAAGCTGATTATTTGATAGAAGTTAAATGTAACTCATAAAGTATGTAAATTACCTAATGTCCCCGTTATGCGACACTGTAATAATATTCATGTTGTTAAAAAGCGAATACTGCAATGATGTTACAATTACTATAATATTGTTCTCGTTGTTAACTGGGAACTCGTTAGTTGTTGCCGAACGGTTTTTGATATTTTCTTATTCGATTATTTATTCGCATGTCGCATTATACCCACTAGAACCGTTCACACGTTCATCAAGGATAATAATATGCGGACGATCGTAAGATAACAATGATAACAGTGTGTTCGAACATTAGTGCGAAACGATATATCGCGGTAAAAGCGAAACGCGGTAACCTAGGAGACCGGGAATCGGAATAGGAACCAACACCGGCAGCACCGGAGAAAGTCACGGGAAATACATAACGATACGCGCCCGTTGCGAGGGAAACGGAGAACAGAAACATGAACGATTACGTGCGGTTGAAATGGGCGGACGACCCGAGATGGTCGAACGCTCGGAAACGGGACGTGCTGAAGTCGCTGGCGGAAATCGGTGAACCGGCGGCCGAGGCGCGCGCGGAGTGCCAACGATTGGCCAACGCCGCGTTGGCCGGTCGACTGGCCGACGCCAAGCTTGAAGTGGCCGCGCTAAAAAATATAGACCGAACGCACGTGGGCGCGCTGCTGAGGGATGTGCCGGCGGCCGACGGGCGGGCCGCGTACGAGCTGATGGACTCGGCGGAAGCGGTGGAGCGATCGCTGCAGTTCAAGTTGGCGCGGTACAGGCAGCGGACGGTCGACTGCCGGGCCCGGGTGGCCGACAAGACGGCTGCGCTGGCCCGGTTGCAAACCCGTATAGCCCACTACCAGTTCAACAAGACGGCGATGGAGGAGGCCGCAGCGGCCGCGACGGAGGCAGCTGCCGCCGGGCCCGGCGGGATGGCCGCGACCGCGAAGACCGTGGACGCGCTTAGGCTGTGCAACCGGTGGATGGCCGACACGCACAGCATCATGGCTGACAACGAGGCTATGTACAAGAAGCTCAACGAGCAGCTCGTGACCGAGGCGCGTCAGCTGGCGGCCATCGTGGTCGAGCTGATATCTTACGGCACGACGGCACAAAAGGAATACGCGGAGTTCGACCGGCGTTACCGCGAGGCCATGGCCAAGCACGAAAAGGCCATTTACCGCAAACACGCGTTGTCGCGGTACCTCAAGTCCAACATAGCCGTTCTGGAATCCAAAAGGTCCATCATTTCTTTATTCCGCCCAAGCCCGGCTAAAAACCATCCTCGTGGCCATTATTCTCTGATGTCTACCGTCTAAGTGTATTGGAATAGCTGAACTTATCCACTTTTCTTCGTCGTGTTTTACCCAGCTAAACCGTGATCCAAACGTACATCTATCATTTTTTATTTCGAAAATTATCGATTCCCCTGCGTTTCGTCGATCTCGCTTGTATAGCACGATGTACAGTTACGTGGTTAACATATTTATATGATAATATTATCGTAAACAACGCGTCAATAGTATAATATTGTACAGGTTCTGTAATCAGTTTTAAATCATTCCCATATTACTCTTGATAAAACCGGAATCTGTAGTGATTATAAACATTTTCCGTTTCCTATTAATGTGATATATTTCGAACGGCGTTTTATAAAATCTACATTTTGTTTTTTGTTATAATTGTTTTGTGTGTCTAACTAGCCAATTCAACTTGTTAAAAAAAAAAATAATGTAAATTGAAATCCGATTTTAAAAGGCTTATTACGTATCATTCTTATTATTTAAAGTTTTAATATTACATTTTGTGAAGTCCTTTAACAAAAGATCGTTATGTCTTGCCTTATGACATAATTCAGTCGTTATAACCCCGTTATTAAAGTACGTAGATTTTGCGTGAATCAGACGTAAACGATAACAAGAGAAGTTTTATAAATTTAGAAAAATCATCTTCGTCATAGAAAAGTGCACGTCCTTGCATTTAAGTTTTATTTTGTCGCGTGTTTAATGTTTTATAGTTTCTTTAACAGATTTTTTCCACTTTAGCGTCTATAAAATTGTTACTTGTTTATATTCTGATAAAAGAATAATAAAAGCTCAAATGCTCATCTCGGTATTGTTAATCCATATACGACAGGTGTTTAACCTTAGATTTTTCATTCGTATTTATAGTCTTTGAGATTTGCGATTAATTCAGTAAAGACTATGTATTTTCTAACAAACGAACTCACTACATTTAAACATCGTCATTATCATAAAAAAGTATTAAAAAATTTAATATTCAGACTTTTTCGAAATAGAAGCAATTTTTCTCACGTCAGTTTTTATACATGTCAAAATATGGTGGCGTTCGGTTGGATTATCATACACCAAGTAACCAATGCTTGTCGAATGTAATTGATTGAGCTTTACTATTGACAGGTGTGGACTTTAAAGATGTATATGTATCGAGTTCCTGCGTTGAATAGGGAATTGACCCTGATCCTCTGACGTTAATAAATAGTTCTAGTTGAAAATGAAAGAAACATATTTTCTCACTTCAGTACTACATGACCAAGCCAAATTACTAAATAATATGATTTATTGAATTATAACATTTTTCTCACGTACCTCAACCGAAATTCAAATATTAATACTATTTTTATTCAATCTTGACGTGCAGAAATATCAAAATATTGATAACCGCAATGATATAGGTACTACACAAATGTCTGAAATATTTATCACCACAATAGTGCATGTAGTCACTATAGAAATTAAAAATCATAAAAAAACATTTTTCCATTGCGACTCTATCATCTCTAGCAGAATTGCATCGTTATTTATCGTCAGTTATTGATCACATAGCGTATTATGTCTAAAGATATACATGATCCATTGTGTGTCTTTATTACCATTATTATTGTGTATATTTTTGTATTCCTAAGTGCCGTCATGGATTTATAACATAAATTGTATCTTATCCGATAGACTATAAAACGTTTTTTCAGAGGTTTAATAGTTCTGGGGATGGGGATGGGAGTGTAGTGATACAAATCCTCTATCGACATTTGTAATCAATCTTTTTTATGCTATGGATTAATAAAGTAATAAAGCAAAGTAGAATCATGTATAATGCAACACATCAAAAACCCTATAGAAGTTAACGGAACGCTGAACAAGTAAAAATGACGGACCATGTATAGCGCACATCTATTATTATAAAAATATTATTTTTGAGTAAAAAATGTATGATTTTGATGTATATTAATTTTTAATCATCAATGTATATATGCCACTAAAATAAAATTCAGAAATATGTGTATAAAATTAAGCCTTTTCATCTGGAAAAATTAACTATAGTGGCAATACTGAGATATACATATACACGTATATTTATTAAAAATTAATTATTCGAAAATTTTTTAAAAAGGAATAAGATAATTTCAAGTAAAATACAAAAGGACTTAATGGAGAAGATTAATTTCGAAATAACCGAGCCAGATACGCCCTTAATGTCCGGATCTGATAGTCAATCATCGGATAATTTGAATAAGTTGTCCTCATTCTTTGATACCGATCAAAAATTACCACTGACAGTTTGGATCAACGACGGGCCAATGGAAAATTTCATGTATCGGAAAAAAGAAAGTTTTCTCTCGAAAGATAGCATAATCGATAAAAACGATGAACAGAAAACGGACACAGAGTCAGTGGCGTCATTCCATTACACGTATCCCGTGGATAAAGTTCGTATTCGAGACTTCATACAAATTATTATACAATACTTTGCTAAAAAAAGAAAATAATATTTTCATTGCGTCTGTCCGAACACTTTGGTCTCACCCCATCATAACGTGTTGTTACGTCTATACGCAATTAAAGAAAGTTAGTTTTATTAGGTACGGTATTGTTCATATTTTCATTAAATCGATTGTATTTTTATTCTTATTTTATTTATATAGTTTAATCGAATAATGTTTACACATATAACGCCTTAAGATAATGTCTTTAAATATTTGTAATATCAAAAGTTCAAAAGTTGGTTTCGTATTTATTAATACAAATTTTATTTGACTTTCTCTAATTTTTTTTTTTTTTTTTTTGTAACGTTTAATAACGTTTTTGTTAATTTATCAACTCGTAGATTATTATATCTTTATGTATAGTGATAAAAGTAAATTTATAAATGTTACCTGTCATTAATTTCAGAATTATTTTATGGTGTTGAGTTTTTTGTGTTAATTTATATATATATAATCCTTTTGATTGAACAAACAATTAATATAATATGTAAATCCCGAAAACTAATAAATTACACTTGATGATTGTGTTTGAAAAAAATTCTGTTAAATTAAGTTCAGTAGACCGATACTGATCCTAATTTGTGAAAAATTAAACAACACCGTATAAATTATGTTGTACAGGATAACACCTCATTATAAATAATACTCTTTTACTCTACACTTTTGATAATTATTCAATTATAGGAGGATTAGATAACTTAAAAAGTATTCATGCAAACAGTTCATTAATTATTATCTGCCTACGCCGACAAAACAATACTGTTTGTAATTTTATTAATTATTTCCTCGTAAAATCATGACTGCGACAATGATATTATCTTTTGTTGAATGGTATAAATCGTTCGCAGGTCAATCTGTTGAAGTTCGGTGACCAAGAATACACCAAAGCGATGGAAGCCGCGGAATACGTTTGCGACACGTTAGATTTTGGCGACATGGCAGAAGTTCTACAGTATTTTACTACGGTAAAAAATGTAGAAATGCGAATAAAAAAAATGGTAAGCGTGCGAAAGCACCTGTACGGGGTCTTGAAAAAGAATATGGAGGAAGCGGCTGACCTAAAGTCGGATAGACTGAACTGCGTACCGGAGTCGACATTGCTTTTGGATGTGGAAAAAGAGCGTGTTCAGCGGGACGGGTTGGAGGTGCAGAAAAAAAAATTGCATTACGTCAACATAGAGATTTCCGAATACAGTGAGCTGTTCAACGAACTTTGGTTCCAGCTGGACAACCTCGCAGGAAAACTCGATCGATGTCAAGTAAATATGCGTGTGTAGGAACAAAATATCCTGATTACCGAAAGTGTTGTAAAGACTCAAGCGGCCCGTACACGGTGCAATTAATCGTTCGACAAATTGTACAACTTTGTTTGATACGATTTCATAAGCGATTATCGTAACGTGTTTGGTATTGTTGTACAACTTGTAATACGACGGGATGAAGTTTGAATTTGAATAAAATCTATCGAACCTACAATAGGTTTGATCGATTTAATTATTATAATATGATTTATTATAATATTATGTTCTTTTTTATCACCTAGCAGTTGTGAACCATAACTGATAATATTTGAAAATTGAATTCATTGTTATTTTTTTATATTATAAAATACTGTTTTTTTATTCAATAATATTGTACTTGTCAGTTGTCATTGTTTTTATTTATTGTTAATATTGTTGAGTTATTTGTCTTTTTTTTCATCACTATTCAACAACAACGTAACCACAATACTAGCTTTGGTTTTTTTTTTTTTTTTTTTTAACACGAGAGCCATAACAAAAAAATTGAAAATAAACATTGAATATACTGTTACACTATTAATTTGTATTATTTATTAAATATAATGTTAAACACATGTTTTGAAATTAGTTTTTAAGCATTACGCTCGTACCAATATACCATGAGTTTAACAACTTTCAGTAAGACAAGTCGTATTATAGTGTGTCGGATATCACTTACTGCAAGTTAATACGAATAGTATATACCGTGTACGGGACGCTTTAAAGCGGCGACTTCCAAAGTGTGTTCCGCGGAACCTTGAGAACAGTAATTCTAGTAAGCAATAATCATGAAGTATCTTTAAAACAATTTTTTGGATTATTGATTTTTCAATATTAAAAATAAATGCAACTATAAATAATTACAGAATTGGTGTTAAGTTAGAAACGTTGGGGTTCCACGAATCAAAAAAAATTTCTTAAAGGTTCCGTGGTCGTAAAAATTTGGGAACCGCTGCTAAGCGCAATGATAAGAGTCGGAAAATGTCTTTGGAACACGTTGCTCCACGCATCCCATGTGCGAACAAACTCGTCGTGTTTTCGTCGAATCCACAATGAATCTGAAAATTCTCGAAATAAAGGCGTTTCGAATAGTTACCATACACAAAAAGGGTGTGGAATTTACAAGCTCAACATGATTCTATTATCAGCGCGTGATATTCACCGATGATTAAAATAAGGTTTCAACAGTAAGATACAAAACACAAAAAAAAAACCCCCCATATAAATGCTTCTATATGTAATTAAATTTCTCGCGATTTTCCGTACGATAAATGTTTGCGCTGCAAAACGGACAACTTATTCAACGAGTAGCTTTAAATATTTTAAAAGAGTTTTTCGTCTTTGGCAAATAATAACACTGTGTTTCGGAATCATCAGTCGCCGACGAAACGTACATAATAACTGCCGACAGTTGAAACATAAAACAACACGATTTCATTGAAAACTCTATACACTACGAGCGTATAAATAATTAACTATATACCATGTGGGGGGGGGGGGGGAGGGGCTATTATACTTTTCACCGGACGTAAGTGTAGCAGCGGTCCAGTGTACTTTTCGGCGAGACGCCAAACGGGACGCGTTTTCAAAAACGTTGCGAGGGATCAAGCGCTCCGCCGGGCGATTTTTAAGCCCAGTGTTTCCGCGGGTCGTAACGGACCCGTATTGCGCGACCGACGGCAGTGTTGGCACCGGCGATCGTTTAGCGTGCGCGCACGCAACACGAGCGTATCGTATTGTTTAGTCACGGGCCCGGACCGTAATAACCGGATCCCCGACCACGACTCGGCACATTCGACACGACAAGCGGAACAAATTATTACATCGCGGACACGTGCTGCGTGAAACACCACGGCGGCCCGTGCGCTACCGCCGGGGCCCGCGCGATAACTCGAGAAACGAAAATTGTTTTCCCGGATCCGATTTATCAAAACCGAGATTTTAACGAGCTATTAAAAAGGGAAAAAAACACACACACGCACTCGCCCGACCGTAACGCACGCGCACCCGTTGTTGTTGCGATCGGAAATGCAGCCAAAGGGGCGGGCCCTAACCGCATAATTAATTTAGCCCGCGAACGTCGATCACCGTACACAACCGTGCGCGTATTCGGATTCAACGCGTTCCGCGTTAAACGATCTCTCACGCGTAGTAGCCGAATAATTCGATTTGCCACTTCAAGACATTATGTTTCGTCATAAAAACCATTAACTTTACGATCACATAAAATATGATTATCGTCACGATCCAGCCGTTGAAATAATTATAATTGCGTATGTTTACATATGAAACCGTTCAACGGTCGATGTACGCGTAATACACTATACATAATCGGATAATCAAAGGTGGGCAATTTAATGAAAATAATTAACTCCGGGTTAAGAGAACACAAGATCGATAAGTTAAAAGTTAATAGTAACCAATTAATTTAACTCGGTTTAAAAAAAGTTAATCTACTTTTTTTTACTAGTACATAGATCACATGAAAAGCGATTGGGTTCTTTAGAAAGATCTAATTTCCTAAATCATAATAAACAATTTTATTATAAAATATAACAGTGATGCCCAAGTGTTTGAAAAATACTATGACATTGCACACGGACCCGGACATCTCGGCGTGGCCGTCTCGGCCTAGCCATTTCAACATAAATCATTTTGGCGTGAACCCATTTCGGCGTGCATTCAATTCTTTTAGACTTATATTCTTTAATTTGATTTTTATTATAAACGCGTTATACGCCAGTATAGTATGTGATTCTAAACACGCTACATAATTTATATTTGTGTAAATTATATTATGCGATACGGCATCGGCCAACAATAATAATGATAATAATGATTATCCCTCTATATATCTAACCTAATATAAATAAAATTAAAATAAACTAATGATAACTAATATTATAGGCTATCCCCCTTAAAAAACTAATGATGTCACGATTGTTATTATTATTTACAAGTTTTTTTTATTCTTCTATTTACATCGATATACTTCTTTTTTTCCGTGGAGAACTTTTTCCAGCTTTTAATTGATTATAAAATGTATCACGATCAAATTGTACTTTTCTCAAACAAGAAATTAATGTTCATAAGGTTGGCCATAAGGTTGGATGCTGCACGCCTATTTGTAAATTAGGTCGTCGGTTGGCTGTCTCGGCATAGTTGTTAGTTCTGATTTAAAAATCAAATTAAAAAATATAAGTCTAAAAGAATTGAATGCACCCCGAAATGGGTTCACGCCAAAATGGTTTACGCCGAGACGGCCGCGTCGAAATGCCCACGCCGAGATGTCCTAGACCGCATAGCACATCAAGGGGCCATTCACTAGGTACCATATCTATTTATCTTTATAGTTAAAATTTTTTAAACATAACATTTTGTATCCACGGCCAGAACCCAATATTCAAAGGTGGGCCCCCAACTTACAAAATCTAATATGACATCTGATGTATAGTGTATACAACCATTTTACTTTACATGATTATTTAATTTTTATGTAAATATTTTTCTATAAACGAACAATTTCAAAAATGTTTGAACTTGATAGGTCATTTTTAAATCAACTGTGAAAAGCTAAGTTATTTAAACTGCCAATTAAACTAGTTAAGTTAAAAAGTTAAAAAAAAAAATTAACTTTTTAACTAGTTAATGCCCACCTTTGCGGATAATGATGAAGCATCATTTGACTGTATAACGCAATACATAAAATAATAAAATTAGATAGGTACATCATTTCACATCGCTGATACGACAGTGATATAACAAATGACATGTTATGTCGACGTCATTCAATTGCAGCATGTTCCATTTTATATCACGTGCTATGTTGCTCCAGTATCAAACGCTTCGAAATTATTTTCGTTTATTTATGATATTAATAATTAATAAATTTAAATTGTTTTTGATGGGCCAGATGTTAATATACATTTTGTTGAAATAATTGAAGTCCATCCATTTTTAATTTTTCGATTTACTTTTCAGTATGGATGAAAACAACACTTTTTTTTATTTGCATTATTAATATTTATTAAATTCACTAATGCTAAAAAACTTTTGCCGTCCGATGTCGAAGACATATCGAAAACTGAGATGGTATTAATACTACTATTTACAAGATATCTAGTTAAATATCTAGTTGTGGCACACCAATCGTCATTTTGTTGTTACGTATTTGTTATTACTCCTTTCCCAACGCTACACGTCACGTTACTTTGGTGGGCCTTATATTTTAGTATTGCGTATCATTGTTTTAGATATAAAGTTGTGACCGAATATTATACGCCATATATTTTGTCTTTTGACTTATATTGTGACAGTAAATTGTTTTAGCCTCGAGGTGAATGATTCTCAATAGGCCGTATAAGATGGTGTGTACTACAGTAGTAAAGCATGACATCATTTTAAACACATAAGATTACCCAAAGGACCTTTCCGGGCGAATGGGCATTCAAATGTTTATCGCGTCGGATGGGGTGACGGGAATTATGTGGAGGACTATGCCGTAACGGCCGTTATGAAACGAAAAAAAATATACCGAGAAAAAAATGTACATTTTGAGAAAACAAAATCACCGTTTAATTTATCGCCTTTTGTGCTCCTAAACTTTGAATACGATAAAACATGACATTTTATTAACGTTTCGATAGCGTTATAAAGAATAGTAAATACATTTCAAAATTTGTTGGCGTTTATAGCACAATCGCATCGTTAAGGATTAATGCGTGTGATATAATTTCATAATGACTTTGGGATTTTTGTTGAACGTTTATACGTTATGAACCGTCGGAGAGAAGCAATTTACTATCGTAGAACCGAAAAAAATTATTTTCAATAAAAAATATACACTGCGTACTGGTAAACAAGCCTAAATTGTAAATTTCCCTTAAATAGTCATCTTTGTAAAATGTATTATATTAGTGAGAAACCACCAAAACAGGTATCGTCAATGGGATTGTTTCGAAAGTCTTATGAAAATTGAGCCTCCGCTGAAATAATATAGTGGTAGAGCGTAACGTAAATATAGCACTGAAAAACTGTCCATATAAATCGTACTTAAAAAACCTGAATTTGGGTAAAGTAAAAATAAAAACTTAATAATAAGCAATCACCTATGCTTTCAGTTTTCAGTTTTTTTCTCTCGTATTTATGTTTATTTTATTTTTTTTCATATGCCGCTCAGGTACCGCCTGCGAGAAGGTATCAAGCGTATTTGAAAAATCGGACCAAGTGCTCCGAGACGATGTCAGACGCGGTGTCGATGTTAGAAGGGCTATGTTTAGTAACGACCTCGGGCAACGTGGATGGAAACAACCACGAGATCTCGAACAAAACACTTCCGGGCGCGACGGAAACGTCTTTCGCGTCAGACCAACGTGAACGCTGCGAGACCAAGTCCGGTTGGGAATTAGCAGTGGACGCCTGCCGAAAACTGGTGGCGGAAGTGCACATCAAAGTGAAGTCATGTATGATGTACTTGGGTGGTAGGAGCTTCGACCCCACTGACCGCAGTCAGCCGACGGCTAGGGCGTACTTCACTTTCAAGCAACAGTGTCAGATACAGAACGCGGTGCTGAAGAGAAAGGAGCAGAACCGGCAGGAGCTGCATAAGGTCGAAGTGGAGACTGACCCGAAGGCCGTGGCCACCGCAGCCGGTATACTGACCCGGGAGCAGATGAAACATCAGGCCGAAGAAATCGTACAGTATTTCATAACGCCCAAAGACGCCGACAACTTGACGAGGTCGAGGAAACCGATATCGTTTAGAAAAGCTCGGGTCGTCGTATGATTCGTGCAATCTCCGGCTCGTTGTTTTTTTTCTCTAAAAAACAACATCATGTCAAACACGCCCCGCGATCGTCGCAACGTATACGGTCTGTACACGTGTGCTAACCGGTCTACTGTAAATACAATTTCATATTCGAATTTAATATTTTATGCTCCTGTTCATTCTAAATACAATTATTATTGTTTTAACAACGCGCATCGTTAAGTTTATGCATCGCGATTGTCGATGACTTGGTTTAAAACGCAAACGGTTTAAATGTCAACACTTCTACGGGCTTAATCAATCACGCGAGTAGTTTTTATGGAATCATTAATTTGAATCCGAAATACTTGATGCCAGGCATACACAGGCATCCACGTAATTAACATACATCATGATATGAAATGAAAATTTTCTAATATTATCAGGCCCGATGATCATAATATAAAGGTGGATATTACTTTTGGTAATGCCCTTTCATCCAAAAAAAATTCATTTTTTTATTCAGAATTAGTAATTTGTAAAAAATATTAATTAAAATGCTCTTTTGACCATCGTACTGAGGTTATAGCTACCCTTAGCCCCCCCCCCCTTAATTCAGCCCCGAGTACTATATGCGAGTAGTAATCGTAGGTAACTGGATTTTTGAAGTTTAAATTTCTTCGTACTTATTGAAAATCAAATTATTCACTTTTCGTCGGTATTACTTGTATACGTACACCTAATCAAATTTTAATATTGAATTTAAGTAGGTAAAAAAGTTAAACCAATTATTAAAACTTTGGGTGTGAAAAAAAAATAATGCCATTGTAAATAACATAATATGATGTTGCTGTTGATAAAGGAGCATGATTGAATTAAATTGTTTAAATCAAAATAATATGCAGTTCGAAAAACGCAAACGGTTAACGAAACGGATAATGTTTTCATATTTCTTGCATCTCTCTAAATCTATATATATATATATATATACAATGAGTATACTGTATAATATATTATGATCGAGTTAAATCAAGTGCGACACTTGTAGTAGTCACTTACGCCAGAATCGAGTTAATGTATCGGTTATTATTAAGGTTCTCAATATTATGCTGATTCACTTGAGATATGTGTGCACGCGTGCGTGTGTGCTTATGACAATATCATCGGATTTAATAGAATATCCCTGGGGTACGTGTATTGAAATATCAAAGGTGTCACACAACAAAACACCATCGTGACGTGACAATTCCTTTATATGTGTAATATATGTATTTTGTGTACGACGTACCGCGAATTTCTTTGAAAATTAACAGTACAACAATAAAGAATTGTGTACAGTGAATGGTGTTTATAATCCGTGAATTATTTAAATCCTATTACAGCGTTTACTTTTTATTCATATAAATACACAACTGGATTTTACACATTCGGACATTTCACAATCGGGTCGAAAATTGTAAATCTAGCCCCTGAAACAGCGATCTGTATTTTGTAAAAAAAAATATAATTGAAACATGCACTATTCCATATGTCCTAGAATAACACAGTCAACTGATATAAGTCAATCGATATAAATTCAGTGAGTTGTGATTTGCTTAACATTATTCGTACTCTGACACACGCAAGACTCGTGAACATGAAAAACGAACAACTTTCTCGTATAAAATTTTGATGAAACATTTTTAAAATGTAAATTTTTCTAGGAATTCTTCGTCGTCAAAGTTTCACAAACGAAATGATGCGATTTTGATTCGCATAATACCGGGTCGAGGCGCGGTACGTACGAATCTGTACGAAATATGTATGAATCTCTCGTAGAATCTGAGAATGATTTATTCAAATATTCAAGAGTATTTTTTAACTTCGGAAATGTGACCACCGCATAATAATAACAGTCAATGAATATAATTATCGAACTGTTTTACACGAAACGCTACGCGCATAAATATTATATTACACCACCATTTCGACATGGAAGTTTTCTGGCGGAGTAATAATCATCCAATATCACTCCGATCACATTACTACGTCTCGAGCACGAGTTTTTATTTGTCATCATTATTATGTTATACGTTGCAATCATTATATCAAACAAGAGTTATAAATGCCGAAAACCTCGTACAAAAAATATTTTAAATATATTCGGTACAGATTTCGAATTCACAGTGATATGTAATTACATAACCGTAAGGGGGTATAGGGGGCATGCACGGATTAATACTGCCGTATAACTGTATAACCGTATACTGTGGACACTCGGTCACGGTTAAATATCGACTGCGTGTCAGGAGGACGATTTTTTAACATGTAGGTTTCCAACAGCCACGCTATATGTAATACGTTTATGCGAACGGGGATAAAATGATAAAATCGAGTGCGCGCGATGCGGTGACAAGTAAAACGTATCGAAAGCGGAAATGAACGAGTACTGATTGCGATCATGAAGAGCATATTCCTTTTTATATTACACGGTAACGACAAAATGTTGCGCCACGTAGCAGCCGTCTACTGCCACTTCAAATAGCGGCAACGGAACGACTAAATTGATGATCATACACGCGTGACCAAATTAATGTTTTCGTATTAAACGATTAAATACACTTAATATTTTTTTAAAAATAATTGCAGTATTCAACGTACAATACTGACCGGTGTTGTTAGATAAATTATACGAAAATAATTAAAAAACTTATTTTCGTAAACTCGTAGATCGTTAAATAATTTATTGAATAAGCTCATTTTAATCTCCTAGTATTGAAAATTACGATATTTCTGATGTTTTTTTCGGCGACAATTGAACAATCATAGTGTAATAATTTAATAACGGATCATTCTAACAACTGGAGTGTGTTCTTGTAAAACTTAACTTTTATAAAAGTATACTAAGCTCGGGACCAGGGCCGTGTCTGTGGTGGGAGGGGAGTGCGAGAGGTGTATGTGTGTGTGCAGTGGCGTATTTTCAATTTTTTCTGGGGGGGGTCCACAGTTTATACATAATTAATTTAAACTATATATTATATTGTAATAGTTACGTCCTTGTACAGTTTTTGGAGGAAGTTGAACTAAATATATAATGTAATAATCGTATAGTCTTATGTAATATTATATATATATATGTACCTATATATTGTATTTAACATTATATATTGTAAAGTATTGTTATAAAATAAATTCCAGTTGTCTCGATTTTTTGGCCAATTCTTCTATTACTTCATCAACAGTAATTTCAACTTCCTTGTGAATGTTTAACATAGCCAATTTTGCAAATATGTAAGAATTTTAGTTTATTTTTTGGAGAGATTCTGGGGAGGGTCCAGTACCCCTGGACCCCCCCTAAATACGCCACTGTGTGTGTGTATGTGTGTGTGTGTGTGTGTGTGCGTGTGTGTATTCATAAAATGTAACATGTTCAACACCATGGTCTCAAACTGTAGTCGACATCATTAATATTGTCTTGATCAGCATTTGTTGCTAATTTATTTTTAGTATTGGTATTTATTTTCCCCTAAATGACGATGCCGTCGATAACAATTTAACAATAATATACCATTTATACAGAATTATTATAGTTACTTGATATAATAAATTTAATAACATTAATAATATAAACGAATGTTGACTTGAACGAGCTGTACGATTTTATTTTGAACCCATCTAAGTTAGTGTTCACATCACGGTTCAGGAACGCAGAAGTTGCACGGGTACCTAATTATATTTCATCGGCAATTATTTAAAAGTAAGTTATTTTTTATGCAGTCGAAGATTAGATTTATGAATAAATTATACCAGCTTTGTACGATATTATCTAAAGGTTTTGTTCTACCTAAACGGTTTGAGTTATACGACTTATATTGCTCATTAGTTTTGATAAATAATAAATAAGTAGTTGTATAACACCCCTATTCTTACGTAGTCTCCTTAGGGCCTGTAGATACAAAAAAATATTTGACAGAGAGGGTGGGGGCTCTAAAAACGATTCTTGGCCCCAGGCGTTGGTCACACTGGGCACACGGCACTGTGCCGAGGACTGACGGAAAGCCGTGTAAAAACCGTGAGTCGAGCGGCGGTGGTGGTTGATCGGATTTTTGCCGTCCGGTCGAAACCGAACCACATGCAAAGAGCCTACACGGTCGGCCTAAACGGTCCGGCGGCGGCCGCGAAACGGTGGTGAACCGAAACGCGCGTGCACGTCACAAGGGGCGACGCACGCGGATGACGGAGGACGAGACCGAACGGTTCTTGGCGCGTGCGGTTCCGGTTAAACACATCGCGTTGCGGCGGCGGCGGAACACAACGGAAACCCCGTGGCCGGGGGCGCGCGCCCGCGTACGTTGCGGAAAAACGGGCAGCGGCCGCGGACGGTCGGACGGTCACGGGCGGGTCGGGCCGTCGTTGGCGTCCCGATGCATTATACATTACGCGTATTGGACGAGACGTGCGAGCGGCCGCGGCGGACGTGCGAAGAAAGATTCTATTAGAGAGGCGCTTGTGCGTGCACGTCGTCGTCGTCGTTGTGTACGCGCGGCCCGGCGAATGTGTGCGTGCGTGGGTGCGGGCGCGAGTCGTGTGTTTGTGCGCGCGTCACACTCGGTGTTCCGGGCGGCGGGCCGCGGAATACTGTATGTACGGAATACATCGTCGGCGAGAAGACGATATTTCATTTCGACCGCCATCTCATCCTCCTACCCCTCACCGTCCGTTCCCGGCCGCCCGAAAAGTGATAATAATTCATATTGGTCCGGGCGCGTCCGGTCACTAGAGATCACAAAGGTGCACGCGCGCACACACGCGCGCGCATACAAATAACTCGATCCATTTCTTTTCGCGTCCGTAGCCCCGCGCGCCCACCACGTCCCCGTGACCGCCGCAGCCCCCACACACCCCGTCGCCGGCGCCCTCGCGCGGTCGGGCGCGCGCGCGCGCGCGCGGGGCTCCGATGATTTATGGAAAACGCGGCGACTGTGACGGGTCGGGACTAACGGGAAATGTCTCTCCGCCCGCGCCGCCGGACACGCCGAACCCCCCGGAGACGCGACGGT